AGACATATAAAAGACAATACAAGCATAATAATTGACCCTTGGAATATTGAAATGAAACCAAGTAAAAAAAGATGGCCATGTTATTGGTTGAGCAGAAAAAGCTTTTGATGAGTATCATGAATTTCCTATTGAAAACTTTCAAAGGTCGGAGAAAATATTAATGGAATTAGGGCGATATATGATAACCAAAAAGCAAAATTTGCTTATAAATAACGAGATCACCGCAGAGTCAGCATCGACAAGGGCCAAGACAGGGGGCCCTCTCTCCCCACTTCTTTTTATTGCCACCTCGAAATCACTTTTAATAGCAATAAGAGGCCAGGCCATGGAAACGGGGAGCAGTGGGAGATTCTGGGGGGAAACTGTGCAGAAGATCCCGGGAGAGGAGGACACTCTCCACTCAGAGGTGCAGAGCAAGCAATTGAGGCAGTTCTGCTATCAGGAGGCCAAAGGACCCCGGAAGGTTTGCAGCCGACTCTACTGCCTTGACCATCAGTGGCTGAAGCCAGAAAGGCACACGAAAGCTGAGATGCTGGACCTGGTGATCTTGGAGCAGTTCCTGGCTGTCCTTCCTCTGGAGATGGAGAGTTGGGTGAGGGAATGTGGAGTGGAGACCAGTTCCCAGGCAGTGGCCCTGGCCGAAGGTTTCCTCCTGAGTCAGGCAGAGGAGAGGAAGCAAGCAGAACAGCAGGTGAGAGAGACTTTCCTCTGGATACTCCCAAGGGGCTCCGAACGTGAGTGAGGGTATCTGAAAATTCTCCATCCTTTTTTGGAAAGCAGCTATCAGATTGCCCTTCAGTTTTTGCCTCTGTCATTCCTTTTCTAACTCTTCTTCATATTCTCTGTTTTGAATCTTTGTTGCTATTTCAGAGGCAGGATCTGATTGCAGAAATGGGCCCAGATTCCTCTGAGACCAAAAGGACTCCGTTGGACACAGAGAGAGGCTGCTGGGTAAGGAAGGAGTCTGTTCTCCGTTTGGTCCCTTTCTGTGGATATCAAAACGAATCCATGGGTTCTTTTCCTCTCTTTTTTTTGGGGGGGGGGTAGACACTTGGGGCCAAGAGCACCAAGGAGGGAGATGTATTTTTTAACCCAACTAAATTATGAAATGGGTCCAAATGTCCAGATGCACTCAGAAGGTGAGACTTTTTGGAGAGCAGCTGCACTCCTGGCTTCCCACTTACTTCTGTCTCTTGCAGGTGACCAGATGAATGCCAGCAAGACCTCCTCTTCCATCTATTCCTGGTGGTGAAGGAGAAGCAACGGCTGTGGAAGCAGCTCAGGTAGAGGGAGGGAGCCCTGTGGGGAAGGGGGCTGAGGGGTGGGGCAGCCAGGGTGCCTCTGGCCCCCAAATAATCTCTCTCCTCCTCTTGGCTTCTGCCCAAGCTTCTCTGAAGGCATCTTTGTCAAGGGCAGCCTAGACAGAAGCCAGGAGGCTGGGAATGCCATTCGAGAAGCTTAATGTGCTGAGAATAAGGAACAGCCACCTTGCCTTAACTCACCTTCTGAAGGTCAATAAGATCATTCATAAGTCATTGTCGTTTTATTTCTAGAGTTATCATTGAATGCTATGATAGGCTTCTAAGCAGTTCATCAAGCCTCAAAAATAGTTCCCAGGAATCACCTATCTTGTCGCATCAGTTGCACAATGGGGTTTCCCCACCTTCTCCTCCCCCTTTTAATGCGCAGAAAGAAACAGCAATGTGTAGCAGACCACCTTAGTGCTGTCTAAAGAGGATCTTTCCCTTTCTCTCTTAGGGTCCAGTGTGCTTTGAAGACGTCGCTGTTCATTTCACAGATGAGGAGTGGGCGTTGCTGGATCTAGACCAGAGAGCTCTGCATAAGGAAGTCATGGAGGAGAATTGTGGGATCGTGGCCTCTCTCAGTAAGGCTCCCTTGTGGATCATAACCTCTCTTTGGAAATTCCACACATATCTCTCTGTGATAAGCCTCCCTGATTTTGAGGGAGCTCTACAGGGCCACTTGCAGCACCTGGGATTCTAATATCCCCCAAACTCACATTAAATGGAGGGTTATTGACTCTTTTGACCGTGGACATGATGAAGCCAGCATAGACCTTGCTGAGAATGAAATGGGAACATGCTGGGAATCTGAGGTCAGGAGAACACATCTTTGTTGACACTGTCCTGCCTTCTATTGCCCAAAATCTTCCTGATATGGAGCATATGGAAGACTTTGAGGGTTTTCCCCCCTAATGGTTGTAATTGTCCACAATTCACTTCACAAACTGCTTGCTCAATGCACAATCCTGATAGACCTTCCTCTTGGCATTGAAGAGTTAGCAACACATTTGCCTTGCCAATACACTTGTCCAGGTCAGCATCGATGAAGAGGTTGTTGGTTATGGTAGAACCTCCTAGGGAGACAAAATCATCCACCACCTCCAGTGTCTGAAACTCCCATAGGCGCATTTTGCAACAGGGAATTTCATAGACACGAGCAGTTTCTGAGCTCTGTGTGCAGTACTGCACCTAAGATTTCAGATTAAAACTGCAGAGTGGAAGGAAAGGAGGACCTTTTTCTGCCTCCCCACTTCCAGCTACTCTCTGCAGGCCAAAGGAGAGACCTGTCAAGGTGGTGTCTGCTCTTTGCAGTAAACACCCTCTGCTCACTCAGAGAGATATTTACAGTTCTTTATTTACATATGTACAAAGAGCTACAGTTCAAAATCATGCATCGGAATCCGACGAGTCAGATTCGGGGAGTAGCTTCCTTCGGCTCCTTCTCCAACACAGCAGACGTGGGAATCTCACGAGATGTTTTTGATCCCTGGTTTTAACTTTCTCCTCACCTGTGCCGAAGGCACCGCTTCCCCTTCTGTTCCTGAACTCCCTGGTTGGTGGCAGGGCTCTCCAGCATCGCAGAGCCCTGACACCACTTGACTGCTCTCCGCCTTCTCCTCCCCTACTTCGTCCATCATTTCCCTGTTTTCCCCGTCTGACTGTCCCTGCTCTGATACTCCCCCTTCCCTTGACCTAGGGGCGTTCCCTGTCTGTCCCGGGACATCACCCCCACTAAGCCCCCCCCATCTGTCTCGCTTTTGTTGTCTTCTAAGGATCTGAAACCTACAAGTGGTGATATACCTGTGGGTGCGTGCATTGCGTTATTGTATGTGAACTCTGCCAGGCTCAATTTCTCTACCCTTGCTGGTAGTTCACATAGCATGTCACGTGTTGTTGCAAGGTAGTGTTTGCCTTCTCTGCCTGTCCATTTGTCTGAGGATGTCTAGCTGAGGTGAAACTTATTTCTACCTGTAACAACTCCATCAACACCCTCTAAAAATACTAAGTAAACTGACTTCCACTATCTGTGACCAGCCTTGAAGGCATGCCGTGCGACCTGAAAACAATGTCTACAAACAACCTTGCTGTTTCTTGAGCGGAAGGTAAAGTGGTACCTCCGGTTACATACGCTTCAGGTTACATACGCTTCAGGTTACATACGCTTCAGGTTACAGACTCCACTAACCCAGAAATATTACCTCAGGTTAAGAACTTTATTTCAGGATGAGAACAGAAAATGTGTGGCGGCAGCAGGAAGCCCCATTAGCTAATGTGGTGCTTCCGGTTAAGAACAGTTTCAGGCTAAGAACAGACCTCCAGAACGAATTAAATTTTTAACCCGAGGTACCACTGTATTTTAGTGCAAGGTACAAAAAGAGCCGTTTTGCTTAGCACATCTACTACTACCAAAATGACCAGGTTTTTGTGTGTGTGATGCTGGTACTTCAGTAATAAAATCCATGGCTATCACTTCCCATGGTTTGTTTAGGGGTGGGTAAGGGTTGCAACAACCCGGCAGGTGCTGTCCTTTCCCCTTTTGCCCTCTGGTAGACTTTGCAGCCTTTAACGTACTCCTCTACCTCCTCCTCTATTTTGGGCAACCAGAATTCCTTGGTAACTAAGTACATAGTCTTGTTCTGACCAAAATGCCCTGCAGTCGGGCTGCCGTGATGCTGTCTAAGAATTTTGGCCCGCAGTTCTTCCCTCGGTACATACAGCACCCCCTTGTAATAGAGCAATCCCTCCCTTTCCTCAAAACTTCTCTCTCTGTTCTCGCCTTGCCTGTCTGTCCCGTGACAAGACCTTCTTAAAAAATCAGGGGGGTGGGCAGGGGAAGGTCTAGACCATGTGAAAAATGAACATATTATTTTAGCTGCTCTTCATTCCTTTTCAGCTTTGTATTTTTGTCATAAGAGAGTGCACCTAGACATTCCATTTTTGAGCCCATAACCTAGGTTTGAGGTTCTCTTTATGTTCTAGCTGTCCTATCTCTGTTTCTAACACCTCTAGTGTGTGGTCACCAATGTTGATGTATGGAATTCTTTCTCTATCACAAGGGTTAGTGATCAATATTCAATACAGTGGCACTCCATTTCTTCCTGCAGCTCTAATCCATTTCTTCATTGCAGGTGGTGATGATTTGGAAATTGAGAACGAGGACGCCCATGACAGAATCCACACAGAGGAGAAGCCATTGCCACTCTTGGAGTGTGGAGAGAGCTTCAGTCACAGTTCCCATTCGACTACACACCAAAGAAATGCTATTGGGAAGAAACCCTCTCAGTTCTCTGAATGGGGAAAAAAATTATGTTGGAATGAAAGTCTAACTTCACAGGAAATAATTCCCACAGGGGAGGACCCACTGAAATGCTTGGAATGTGGAAAGAGCTTCAGTAAGAGTGCACATCTCGTTTCGCATCAAATAATTCATACAGGCGAGAAACCCTATCAGTGCTTAGAATGTAGGAAAAGCTGTAATACAAGCAAAACCTTCTGTAAACATCAGAGAATTCACAGGGGGGAGAAGCCATTTGAATGCCAAGAGTGTGGAAAGAGCTTCAGTCAGAGAACCCATCTCACAGCCCATCAAATAATTCATACAGGTGAGAAACCCTATCAGTGCTCAGAATGTGGGCGGAGCTTCAATCACAGGACGACTCTCACGGTCCATCAAAGGATTCACAGTGGTGAGAAACCCTATCGGTGCTCAGAATGTGGGAAGAGTTTCACTGTGAGCTCCCATCTCACTTCCCACCAAAGAATTCATACTGGGGAGAAACCATATAAATGTGTGAATTGTGGAAAGGGCTTCACCCAAAAGGCAAGTCTCACTTCCCATCAAAGAATTCACAGTGGTGAAAAACCTTATCAATGCATGGAATGTGGGAAGAGATTCTCCCAGAGAGCCAATCTCAGTTCCCACCAAAGAATTCACACAGGGGAAAAACCCTATCAGTGCTTGGAATGTGGAAAGAACTTCAGTCTCAGGGCCCATCTCACTACCCATCAAAGCATTCATACCAGGGAGAAACCCTATCGATGCTTGGATTGTGGAAAGAGTTTCCTACAGAGAGCCGATCTCACTTCCCACCAAAGAATTCACACAGGAGAGAAACCATATCAGTGCTTGGAATGTGGGAAGAGCTTCACTGTGAGCGCTGGTCTTACTTCCCACCAAAAAATTCATATTGGGGAGAAACCCTATCAATGTGTGAATTGTGGAAAGAGCTTCACCCAGAAGCAAAGTCTCACTTCCCACCAAAGAATTCACAGTGGTGAGAAACCATATCAGTGCTTAGAATGTGGAAAGAGTTTCTGCTAGAGAGCCAATCTCACTTCTCACCAAAGAATTCACACAGGTGAAAAACCCTATCAGTGCTTGGAATGTGGCAAGAGCTTCAGTCTGAAGAAAAGTCTCACTCATCACCAAAGAATTCACAGTGGTGAGAAACCCTACCAGTGCTCGGAATGTGGAAAGAGTTTCTGCCAGAAAGTCAATCTCACTCATCACCAAAGAATTCACACAGGTGAAAAACCCTATCAGTGCTTGGAATGTGGCAAGAGCTTCAGTCTGAAGAAAAGTCTCACTTCCCACCAAAGCATTCATACTGGGGAGAAACCCTATCGATGCTTAGATTGTGGAAAGAGTTTCTGCCAGAGAGCCGATCTCACTTCCCACCAAAGAATTCACACAGGAGAGAAACCATATCAGTGCTTGGAATGTGGGAAGAGTTTCCGCCAGAAAGTCAGCCTCACTTCCCACCAAAGAATTCACACAGGGGAGAAACCCTATCAGTGCTTGGAATGTGGGAAGAGTTTCCGCCAGAAAGTCAACCTCACTTCCCACCAAAGAATTCACACAGGGGAGAAACCCTATAAGTGCTTGGAATGTGGGAAGAGCTTCAGTCATAAGCAAAGTCTCCCTTCCCATCAAAGAATTCACAGTGGTGAGAAACCTTATCAGTGCTTGGAATGTGGAAAGGGCTTTGGTAAGAGGACCAAGCTCATGGCTCACCAAAGAATTCACAGTGGTGAGAAACCCTATCAATGCTTGGATTGTGGAAAGAGTTTCAGCCAAAGGGCCAATCTAACTTGCCATGAAAGAATTCACACAGGGGAGAAACCATATCACTGCTTGGAATGTGGGAAGAGCTTCAGTCATAAGCAAAGTCTCACTTCCCACCAAAGAATTCACACAGGGGAGAAACCTTATCAGTGCTTGGAATGTGGAAAGAGCTTTGGTAAGAGGACCAAGCTCATGGCTCACCAAAGAATTCACAGTGGTGAGAAACCCTATCAATGTGTGAAATGTGGAAAGAGTTTCTGCCAGAAAGCCCATCTCACATCCCACCAAAGAATTCACACTGGGGAGAAACCCTATCAGTGCTTGGAATGTGGGAAGAGCTTCAGTAAGAGGACTAACCTCATGGCCCATCAAAGAATCCACACTGGGGAGAAACCCTATCAGTGCTTGGAATGTGGGAAGAGCTTCACCCGGAAGGACAACCTCACTTCCCACCAAAGAATTCACACAGGGGAGAAACCCTATCAGTGCTTGGAATGTGGGAAGAGCTTCAGTAAGAGGACTAACCTTATGGCCCATCAAAGAATCCACACTGGGGAGAAACCATATCAGTGCTTGGAATGTGGAAAGAGCTTTGGTAAGAGGACCAAGCTCATGGCTCACCAAAGAATTCACAGTGGTGAGAAACCCTATCAATGTGTGAAATGTGGAAAGAGTTTCTGCCAGAAAGCACATCTCACTTCCCACCAAAGAATTCACAGTGGTGAGAAACCATATCAGTGCTTGGAATGTGGGAAGAGCTTCAGTAAGAGGACTAACCTCATGGCCCATCAAAGAGTTCATACAGGGGAGAATAATAGAATTTTAGACCTGCAGGAGACTTCTGGGTCGTCTAGTCCACTGCAGGACTCTCAACTAAAGCATCCATGACATATTGCCTTCAAACATCTCCTTACAAACCTCCAAGGAAGGAGAGTCCACAACCTTCCAAGGGCGTCTCTAATTTGAAGCCATTGGTTTGGGTCCCAGCCTCCAGAGCCGGTGAAAACAAGCTTGTTCAATCTTCCACCTGACACCCCTTTCTGTTCCTCAGAAGACTTGGTTTCCCAACGCTTAATTGTCTTGCTCACCCCCCCTCTGCACACCTTCCAGCTTGTCAAAATCCTTCTTAAATTGGGGCACCCAGAACTGGACACAGGACTCCAGGTGTGGTCTGAAAAAGGCAGAAGAAAGTGGGGCTATTACTTTTCTTGATCTGGATACTTGACTTCTTTGGACACTGCCTAGAATAACAGCCTATTTCACCGGTGTTGACATATGTTAGTCTTGTGGTCCACTAAGACCCCAGGTCTTTTCCACATGCACTACTGGCAAGCCCAGTATCCCCCATCTTATATTTGTGCAGCTGATTTTTTTTTGGCCTAAGTGCAGAATCTTACCTTTCTTCTTAGTGAAATTTATTGGATGCCTTTATATACCACCTGTTTCTTCAAGAAGCTCATTGTGGTCTTAAGTCGTTCTCCCCCTCATCGTTTAATCCTGACAACAACCCTGTTAGGTAGGTTGGGCTGTGAAGCCATCACCCAGTGACTGAGTGGAGATTTGAACCCAGGTCTCCCAGTTCCTAGTCCAAAACTCTTAAGCACTGCACCCCACTGGCTCTCGAATGAGACTCTTGGAAAGTGCATGCATGCGCATTTCCCGAAAGTTTCAGTGCAATGTCTTGGTGTTTGTATTTAAAGTTTTATATGCATGTATCAATGACATTAATATAATAATGGTAATTACAGTAGAGGAGTAAATTTTAGGAAATGCTAGATGGTGATAGGCGTAGTTTGGAGTTTGGAATGCTGGGATTGAGCAATTGAACTGAACAATTTCCACATAAATCACAAGATCTAAAATATAAAAACAAAACACCAACAGCAACAACCCCTCCCCCAAAACCCCCAAATTCAAGAGTCTGTTCAGCAGCCTCAGCTTTTGCAGCTGGAGTCAATCCAGGCTCTGCCCTCCCAGGCTAGGTGGAAAAGGTCTCTAAGGAGAGAGCCCATCTTCTGGGACTTGCAGTCAAGATGGTTGGCTGCAACCATTGGAGGGTGGAATGGAATGGGACAGTGGTGGCAATTGTGGAGCAGGGTTGGGTAGAGAGACAGCATTATAATCCCCGTCGTTGCAGCTGTAGCAAAGTTTCAAAAGAAAAAGAAAAGAAATGAGAACATTTGAAACCACATGTTTATGTCTATTTTTTAAATAAATCAGTTTAATGAATCGATGCACACTTCCTCCTTTGTTATGTTTGGGGTGAAGTGTTGAAGAGTCCTCTGTGGTGGCAACAGGAATAAAGGGGAGTTTGGCGGAAGATCCATCTCCTAGCCGTGCACCTTGAATGAAACGGGAAGGTGGCCCAGGGATGGGTGGGCAGGGCCCCTCTGAGCAAAGGCTGTGGGGGCTCAACATGGGGAGATAAACTAGAGGACACTCGGAGAGTACAAAGCGCTTCATAAAAACCAACTCTGCTGTCTTTACAACATCCCTATGAGGTGGACCTGTAGCATTTCCACATAAATGTGGGAAGTCGAAGAGAGGAGGAGGAGAGCAGAGAGGGGTGTGAAGCAGTGATTCTGTCCCTCTGCCCTCTTGCAAGTTGCACACACACAATGCGCTCTGATTTGCGCTGCCCATTCACATCTGTTTTAGGCCCCCAGGCATATACTGAAACGGTCTAGGTCTGATTTTTAAAGTACATGATGATGTTGTTGTTGTTTAGTCGTGTCCGACTCTTCGTGACCCCTGGACCAGAGCACGCCAGGAACTCCTGTCTTGCACTGCCTCCCGCAGTTTGGTCAAACTCATGTTGGTCTCTTCAAGAACACTGTCCCACCATCTCGTCCTCTGTCGTCCCCTTCTCCTTGTGCCCTCCATCTTTCCCAACATCAGGGTCTTTTCCAGGGAGTCTTCTCTTCTCATGAGGTGGCCAAAGTCTTGGAGCCTCAGCTTCAGGATCTGTCCTTCCAGTGAACACTCAAGATTTTTTTGGGAAAATCAATAAAAAATATTAAAAATAAAATAAAATCCACACCCCAGGATATTTCCCCTATCAGCTCTTTTCCACCTGAGCCTCAGCCCCATACCTAAAACCCAGACATCCTGCAGTGTGCCAGGATTGTGACTCCTGCCCTCAGGAAACAAAATAGCTCCCCTCCGATGCTTAGGTGCCCTGAGGGCTGTGCGGGACCCCCAATCCTTGAAATGAAAAAGGGAGGGGCTTAGGAAACCTGAAGGGAGCAGGCGGGGGGGGGGGCTGCACAGGATCCAGAAGCTCCATCTCGCTGATTCCCCCCATGAAGTTCCTTTAAGACCCCACATTGCAGGGGGCAGCCTCACCTGCAGCGAAACAAAATGCAGCTGCCCTGGTCGAGTGGAGCCAGGTTGGGGGGCACCGTGGGGACCCCGGAAATGTGCCCCTAGAAGAAATGTGCCTCCCCAGTTGGAAGCAGCCCTCCTTCTGAAACACCAAGAAAGTAAAGGGACAGTTCTCTGAATGGAGAGAAGCAGAAAGCGGAGTCCCCTCAAGATCAGTATTGGGACCTGTGGCTTTTCTTTCTTTTTTCCCCAAATTCTTTTTATTAGTTTTCATGTGAATAACCAAAAAGAAAAACAAATCCACAGTTACAAAGAAGGAAAAAGGAAGGAAAAAATTGAGTAACTAATATCTAAACAAACTTAAAAATATTGTCCGTTTCCATTACAGTTCCATGTCTTCACACTTGTCTCTATATAGCTTTAAGAACTTACATCATTCTTCTACACCCTATTGACTTCCATCCCTCCCGCTTTCAGGCTTCTTAATATACATAATTTGTCTTTCTGCAGCTAGTAATTGTTAATGATTTGCACATCGTAAGATTTACCGGTATATCAAACCTGCTATAGTTTTTAAGTTTCTGTAATTCCCTTCAATGTATATCATAAATTTGTTCCAATCATTAATAAACTTTGTATTTTTTTGGTTTCTGATTTTTTGCGTCATTTTTGCGAGTTCAATAAATTCAAATAATTTTGTTTGCCAGTCTCTAATTGATGGGATATTCTGATTTTTTGGGCAATTAATAATCTGGCAGCAGTTGTAGCATACTGAAATAGTGTCTTATCTTCTTTTTTGATTTCGTCCCCAATTATTCCTAGTAGGAATGCTTCTGGTCTTTTGGGAAATGTATACTTAAATATTTTTTTTAACTCATTGTAAATATGTTCCCAATATTTCTTCATTTCGTCGCATGTCCACCACATATGGAAAAAATTACCCTCTTTAATTTTACACTTCCAGCAGCTCTTATTTGTTTTATACATTTTCCCTAGTTTTGCTGGTGTAATGTACCACCTATACATCATCTTTTCTAAATTTTCCCTGAGTGTTACACATGCCGTAAATTTCATTCCACTAGTCCATAATTTCGACCACTTGTCATACTCTATATTGTATCCCAGATCCATTGCCCATCTTGTCATTACCTCCTTTATTTCTTCATCTTTGGTATCCCACTCTAATAATATATTGTACATTTTAGATAGTAATTTAGATTTGCCTTCGATTATCTCTATTTGAAACTTGGATTTCTTTTCATTCATCCCTACTTTTTTATCTTCTATCCATACTGCATTTATTTGATGGAATTGTAGCCAACCAATTAGTTTATCTTTCAACTCCTCATAAGTTCTCAACTTCCATCCACTTTCTGATCTTATCAGTAGGTCTTCATAAGTTAGCCTTTCTCCCTCCATATTTACTTTTTTAGTTATTAGAATGTCAGTTGGTGATAACCACCAGGGTGTTTTCCATTCTAGGAGTTTTTTATTCCTCTCCCACACTTCGTATAGGGGCCCTCTTATAATGTGATTTGAAAATCCTTTATGTACCTTTTCTTTATTTTGCCATAAATAGGCATGCCAGCCGAACCTATTGTCGAACCCCTCTAGGTCCAACAAATCGGTATTTTCTAAAGTAATCCAATCTTTAATCCAGCAAAGACTAGCAGCCTTGAAATATAGCTTCAAATTAGGTACCGAGAATCCCCCTCTTTCTTTCAAATCTGTAAGGAGTTTGAATCTGATTCTTGGTCTTTTACCCTGCCATATGAATTTCGAAAGGGTTCTTTGCCAATCTGTAAATATTTTAGGTCCTCTAATCACTGGGCTGTTTTGAAACAGGAATAACATTCTTAGAAGTACGTTCATTTTTATCGCCGCCATTCTTCCCCTCCATGAGAGCTTTACTCTATTCCACGTATCTAGGTCTTTCTTGATCTCCTTCCATGTTGTAAGATAGTTATCCTGAATTAGATTTATGTTTTTTGTAGTTAAACTAATTCCCAGATATCTTATTTTTTTTGCCACCTTAATTCCGTACTGCATTTCCAGTTTTTCAGTTTCCTCTTTTCTCATATTCTTGGTTAACATTTTTGTCTTTAATTTATTTAATTTGAAACCAGATAGCTTGCCGAATTCTTCTAACATCTCCAAAACCTTGACAACACTTTTTTGCGGATTTTCCAAGGATAACATTAAATCATCCGCGTACGCTTTTAGTTTAAATTCTTTTGTTCCTATTTTGATCCCTCGGATCTCTGGTGTTACTCTTATTTTATTTGTGATTATCTCTAATGCCATAATGAATAAAAGCTGGGATAGAGGGCATCCCTGTCTTGTTCCTTTTTCAATTTTAAATGCATTTGTTAGGTTGTTATTTATAATCAATTTTGCAGATTGATTTGAATATATTGCTTTTATTCCATCCATAAACTCGCCCTTTAGCCCTGCTTTCTCCATACTTTTCATTAGGAACTTCCAAGAAACGTTATCAAATGCCTTTTCGGCATCGATGAAAATCAGCACCGCGGGTATTTCGTTCTTACATTCCAGATATTCAATGATGTTTATGGTGTGCCTTACGTTATCTTTAAGGAACCTATTTGGAAGAAATCCTGCCTGATCCTTATGTATTATGTTTACTAGACATTTTTTGAGTCTGCTTGCCATCACTTCCGCAAAGATTTTATAGTCATTATTTAAGAGTGATATAGGTCTATAATTTTTAATGTTCAGTTTATCCGTCTCTGGTTTGGGGATCATCGTGATGTGAGCCTCTTTCCATGTCTCTGGCACTCTTCCTCCTCTAAGGATGTTATTCATGATGTCACATAGCACTGGCGTTAGTTGGTTTTCCAATACTTTATAATATTTAGCTGACAATCCATCTGGCCCTGGGGCTTTCCCTATTTTCATCTTCTTTATAGCATTTTGAATCTCTTCTACTTTTATGGGGTTATTTAGTTGAGTTCTTTCTTCTTCTGTTATGGTCCTCCCGCTGTAGTCTTCTAAGTATTTTTCTATCTGGGTCATTTCTTCCTTTTCTTTTTTATACAGCTTCTCATAAAATTTGAGGAAATTCTCTTTTATTTCTTTTGGATCTTCTATCAATTGCTCCTCTATTTTTATCTTGTTTATCACATTTTGTTTTTGTCTTTTTCGCAATTGCCAAGCTCAGGGGTCTGCAACCTTTAAGACAAAAAGAGCCACTTGGACCCGTTTCCAAAGGAAAAAAAACCTGGGAGCCACAAAACCATTGCGACATTTAAAGCATGCGCGCCGCTGCCCTCCGATCTGGCAGTGGGTGGGAAGGTGACGTTGGGACGGTGCGTGACTAACGCACGCACCGTCCTCATGCGACGTCACAGCCAGTACAGCACCCGCCACAGTGGGGAGTGTCGGGGCGCACAATGTGCCTGCCTCCTCCCCTCGCTAGTATCCGCCCCGGAGCCGCGGCAAAGGTGTAAAAGAGCCACATGTGGCTCCGGAGCCGCGGGTTGCAGACCCCTGGCCAAGCTAATAATTTGCCCGTTTTATTAGCTGGCTCAAAGTATTTTTGTTTCATTAGTTTAATTCTCCATTCAGTTTCTTGACTTGTTATCACTGAGTATTGAGACTGTAGTATTTTTATTATTTGGATATTTTGTTCATCTTTTGGGTTTGTTGTTAATTTTTCCTCACACTCTCTTAGCTGAGTTAGAATTTCCTCTTTCTTTTGTTCTCTTACTTTCCTCCTGTAACTATTTTGTTGGATAAAGAACCCTCTTAAAACCGCCTTACTGACATCCCAGACTATATCCATACTTGTTTCTGTATTAAGGTTCAGGTCAAAATAGTCTTTTAAAGTGGTTTTAGCTTTTTCGGCCACTTCATCATTTTCCAGTAGATGTTCGTTCAATCTCCATC